GTCGTCATCACTCGTCTCGGTGGAGTCCGGATCCTCCCGGTCGTAGAATATCTTATGGCAATTGCTGCACCAGCATCCTTCGGTATTTGATCCATTCGGTATTCCAGCGACTCCACCGAGTGTTGCACCTGACCTCGACGAGGACGATGCACTGGGATAGTAGGGCATCGGTGGCGGTGGTACTCCCACCTGTGTGCCGGCGTCCTGTGAACTGTCTGTGAAGTTGAACCCATCGCCGGCGCCTGCTGAGTTTGTGAAGTGCTGATGCCTGGATTGATGAGCTGCCTGAGCGAGTCCACTCCGCTCATACAAATGATTCTGACGCCTGATAAAAGAGGTAAGACTTGAAAGCTCCTGTTCATTCGTTGGCAAGTTACCTCCCGTTGGTGCCAGAAATTGCGCCCACTGTGGCGGTGGAATACCAAGAGCATTGAGCAACATCCAAGCCAGATTCGGGATCCCCATATGGAAATTTCCCAGATGCTCAGCCTTGAACTTCAGAAGATCAAATCGAGCCAGAGCTTGGTCAATCGGTTCGCCTGGCCTTCGACGGAAGGCAACTAGGTCGGTCATGCTCGCGATAGCGGTCTCCACCTCCAGCGGCATGAATTTACGTCGCAGCCCATGAATCAATAAGTCTAGCCCCGAACACCATCGATGTCCAGCTCCATCACGTAGGTCCATGTAAACTCCGTCTTGTAGTTGATCTGGCGGCACCTCTCTCGATATCTCTCTGGCCAATCCTGATAACTGCAAGACCACGGCCGGAGCAATCGAACGTGCCGGTATGTCTGTCATCGCTTCCCACATGCGGATATCCGTGATCCAGTCACGGAGTGGATATGAGGATTCCCTGGCGGGGTCCCAGCTCGGTGGCGTCTTCGTATTCGACTGCATGATCTGAGGTCCCGCTGGTAGTCCACCTGCCATCTGTGGAGCGTTGGACATGACGTAGTCGTAGTAGCGCAGTGGTGTCGTATCCTGGGAGCAGGTACGGGATCGCACCTGCTCCGCTACCAAGTTATTTTCCAGATGCTCACCCTCCCAGGTCAACGCCTCCCGAGGGTAGTAGCTGTCCAGCTCTGCCAGCGCGTCCGCCGACAGGGGTGATACGTGCACGCCGAGCGTGCCAGTCCTGAGAGCCCTGCTGGCCCCGAGGGCCACGAAGAGGGAGAGGACCACGAAGATCGTCGTGATGATGATAATTTTGATTATCCGATATGGAATGATGGTGGAAAGGGGGCTGCCGCCGCAAACAGGATTCGCACCCTCAAGAGAGGCTACTCACTGAATGGCTTGAGCCAAAGCGGCAATCCCGCCGCTCTGTCATATACATGCCTCTCTACACGCTGGGCACTCATGCTTACCCTCCCTTCTCCCGGGAGGACATCTACACATTAACTACTTCTCCCCATCCCCCTCCTCCTCATCATCCTCCTCCTCCGCCTCCTCCTCCCCCTCCTCCTCCTCCTCCTCCTCCTCCTCCTCTTCCTCCTCTTCCTCCTGCTCCTCCTCCTCATCCTCCTCCTCCTCCTTCTCCTCCTCCTCCTCCTCCTCATCCTACTCCTCCTCCTCCTCCTCCGTTTCATCCTATGCCTCCTCCTGCTCCTCATTATCTTCCTCCTCATCCTTCTTTCCTCCTTCTCCTCCTCTCTCCTTCTACTCTCCCTCCTCGTCCCTCCTCCTCCTCATCATCGTCCTACTCCCCCTCCTTCTTCCTCCTCGTCCACCTCCTCCTCTCCCTCCTCTTGCTCGTCCTCCTCCTCCGCCTCCTCCTCATCATCATCAGCATCATCATCCTCCGCCTCCTCCTCCCCCATTGCGTACGAGTGGTAGTACTAGTAGTAGTAGTAGTAGTAGTAGTAGTAGTAGTAGTAGTAGTAGTAGTAGTAGTAGTAGTAGTAGTAGTAGTAGTAGTAGTAGTAGTAGTAGTAGTAGTAGTGTAGCAGTAGTAGTAGCAGTAGTAGTAGTAGTAGTAGTAGTAGTAGTAGTAGTAGTAGTAGTGGTAGTGGTAGTAGTAGTAGTAGTAGTAGTAGTGTAGTAGCAGCAGCAGCAGTAGTAGCAGTAGTATTAGTGTAGTCGTAGTCGTTGTCGTAGTCGTTGTCGTAGTCGTAGTCGCGATCGTGCCGTAGTCGTAGAGTGATCGTAGTAGTAGTAGTAGTAGTAGTAGTAGTAGTAGTAGTAGTAGTAGTAGTAGTAGTAGTAGTAGTAGTAGTAGTAGTAGTAGTAGTAGCAGTAGTGGAAATGGTAGTAGTAGTAGTAGTAGAAGTAGTAGTAGTTGTAGTAGTAGTAGTTGTAGTAGTAGTAGTAGTAGTAGTAGTAGTAGTAGTAGTAGTAGTAGTAGTAGCATTAGCAGTAGCAGCAGCAGTAGCAGTAGCAGTAGCAGTAGTAGTAGTAGTAGTAGTAGTAGTCGGCGTAGTAGCAGTAGCCGTATGAGTAGTAGTCGCCGTAGTAGTAGTAGTAGTAGAAGTAGTAGTAGTAGTAGTAGTAGTAGTAGTAGTAGTTGTAGTAGTAGTAGTAGTAGTAGTAGCAGCAGTAGTCGGAGTTGTAGTAGTAGTAGTAGTAGCAGTAGTAGTAGTAGAAGAAGAAGAAGAAATAGTAAAAGTGGTAGTAGCAGTAGTAGTAGTAGTAGCAGTATTAGTAGTAGTAGCAGCAGTAGCAGCAGTAGTAGTAGGAGTGGTAGCGGTAGCGGTAGCAGTAGCAGGAGCAGTAGCAGTAGCAGTAGCAGTAGTAGTAACATAAGTAGTGGCAACAATACCAATAGCAAGATTGATACGGAACAAATATGATATAAAACACACATAACCGTAGTAATGATCAGAGTACGGATCAGAACACTAAACAGTCAATAAATTGGTAGTATGAATAATAATGGCACTAATATTTCAATTATAACTGTAAAACCAGGAGGTACTTACGAACTCTATGACTTTAATGGTATAGATGGTAACCGAGCTAGAATAAGAATGGTAATACGAAACATGAAGAGCTACTTTTTTGCATGCAAAAGCATTCGCTATACAGTAATATCTTTTACACATGCACCATACATGGAAATCTATAATGTGAATATATAGACATACAAATGTTAATATTATAACTCAATGTACACTCGCATTCCAATCTGCATTAATAGGTTACTACAACGATGAAGCCACAAGGACTACTTATATAATGTGCATACATATATGTATATATATATATTCAAATGTTAAAGATGAAATAGTACGATACCCCTCCATTACGTTAATGTAATACTATAAATTGTACCCAAATATCTTGTGTTTCATATTCATAATAAGTTAGCACGTTAATATTATACGCTACACAATACGATTCAACTAGTTACTTAGCAATATGATAAAGTTGTAGTGGTATTTGTATCTAGCTGACAATAACATAAACACGAATGGCTGTAAACAATGACTACCACTTATTTTAAAGTTAAGAATACGCATGGTAAATTTTTACAATCCGAATCATAAAAACAACTGTCGTACTATTACCGATACGTATTGAAACTAAAATTCAAGTAACGAATGCTCCTGTTATTTGTATGACGAATACTAGCACTAGCGTAGCAGCCGTAGTAGTAGTAGTAGTAGTACTAAAAAATACTAGTACTCGTCGTAGTAATCTTCGCTTTGAAATATCAATCATATGCTCACTCGCATCTTTAGTAACAGCCTTCTTCGTAGTCGTACTATCCTGCGTATCCGTAGGCTTGGCTGTACGATCCGCGACCGTGATAACACTATTATTTGTATCATGATGAATAGGAAAACACGTCTTATTATTCAAGCGATTATTCCGCTTACTCGCAGTTTCAACACATTATTATTCGCAGAATGCAGATTCATAGCGTTGGCATTCTTAGTAGTATGATTAATATGATTGTACTTCATATGATTAGCAGTGTTCCCCTTAGTCTTCGTACCATCCTTAACCTGCTTAGTCTCCCTGCTTGTATGAGTATTATGTAAACAACCTTGAGTATATTTAGTCTTCGTGTTAGTATTCGCCCTCATGTTCGTAATGGTATTCGTGTTCGTTTTGTGCACCGCGTTCTTCTTCTTATGTATTAGCCATGTGAATACTGCGATTAATATGAATAATAGGTTTCGCCCGGGCACACGTCGTAGCATTCCTCGTCGTGTTGGTAGTGGCCTTGCTACTATTATTAGGATTAGTATGTGTGGCTGTGTCTCTTCTGAGCAGTAGTATTCGGATTATTGGTAGCATTGGCATTCCTATGTTCAGTCTTATTGATTGTACGATTGGAAACAAAATTGTTAGCAATTTGAATCGCATTGAGAATATCATTATTCTTAGTAGTATTACCATTATTCGACTTGTAATGATTCATCTTCGTCTTATTATTATGACTGTTATTATGACGGATCGCCGTCTTACTCGAGATGTTTGTTCGTCGTCCTCCCCCCCCTCCTCCTCATCCTCATCCTCATCCTCCTCCTCGTCCTCCTGCTCCTCCTCCTCATCCTCCTTCTGTTCCTCCTCCTCCTCCTCCTCCTCCTCCTCCTCCTCCTCCTCCTCTCCTCCAACTCCCTCCTCCCTCCTCACTCCTCCTCCCTCCTCCTCCCTCCCACTCACTCCTCATCACCGCACAAGAGACCCCCCAGACGACCTCGGCAGGGCAAGAGGTCCCTTAGAGGCCCCCAGCGGCCCCCAAGAGGCCCCAGGACGGCCACCAAGAGGCCCCTGGAAGCCCCCACGAGGCCCTCGGAGGCCCCCAAGAGGCTCCCAGGAACCCCACAGGAAGCCACAAGACGGTCTCAAGAGGCCTCCTGTTCCTTTTCCTCCTCCTCCTCCTCTTCCTCCACGTCCTCCTTCGCCTCCCTCTCATCCACCTCTTTCTATCACAGGTGCTCCCTAAGAGGGGTCCACAACAGCTGGAGGAACACATAGTCCAATATCTTGACCAGACTTTGGCCCAACGTTTGGCCGCATGGGCGCTTCCAGAAGGCAAGAGGCGGCGTCACCGTAGGCGTCCTCGATAACGAGATCGCACGCACCAAAGGATCCGACGCGCTTGCTGACTGCTGCTCCCGATCGAATGCATCCATGATGCCGTCAAAATTGAAGCGACGAGCTTCCAAATCGCTCATGCTGCTCATGCCTGGGCGCGCGATGCTGCGCTCAGCCTCTTCGGACGAACCCGCCCGCCCACCCATGCCCAAAGAAGGCCCGCCGAGCTCCTGGAAAGGTTCCAGAAGGGACCCGGCACTTCCACAAACTCCTCCTCCTCCTCCGCCGCCGGCCCGCCCGAACAGGCTCAGCGCGCAACCCCAGACATCCTCCGACGTGACTGTTCAATCCGCGGCCCCCAGGCTCCCGACCCCTTCCCGGAGGGGGTTGTTTTCACCCTGGATCCAATATTGATGGCCCGATGACGGCCCCAGAAGCCGACACAAAGTAAACTGGCCGATGGCAGAAAGCAAGAAAACAGAAACGTGTCGTCGGAGATCTGGGACCCGATGCCTGGGTTCTTGTCTTCCACGAAGCGCATCAGCTCGCTCTGCACGATCTCCTGGTGGTGGCCCTCCGCCGCGGCCTGCAACGCACTCAACATCAGCCTGCGCGACTCCCCCTGCAGCAACTGGAACTGCTCGACAACGGGGCGCGCGCAGCAGGACCGAAGCGCCGCCTCCCAGGCCTCCTGCTGCTCCGCGGGGCCCGCCGGGCCGGCCCGCCGGCCGGCGGGCGAGGCCGCCGCAGCGGCCGCGGCTGCGGGAGGAGTGCCGGAGAACGCCGCCGCCATGAGCTCGGCCTTGGCGCCCGCGGGCATGTTGTCAAACATCTGCATCAGCATCTCGGGAGGAGCTGGCAGCGACCCAGGAGGCATGGCAGCCAGCATGGCGCGCAGCGCGCTCGCGTCCATGACGCAGGGCAAGCGGGCCGCGCCGAGCGGTGCACGGCCCCGACTGGACACGGCCCAAGGACTGCCTGCTTGAGCCAGATAGCTGCGGCAGAGAGTCCGACACCCGCGAGCCTCGCTCCTGACATGATGCCGCAGAACGCTCCTTTTTCGCGCACGCTCCTTGCTGCGCCCCTGATGCATCGAATCCCTCTGACGATCGAGGAGACGCCAAGTACTGTGATCATTCGCCGATTCTGGCCAGATTTGGGAGACGCTGTCCTGGGCCCCGGATCGGTCTACGCGCCCCCCTGGCTGGGCCCCCAAAAAAATACTTATCAATCCTGGAGCCAGCGCTTACCTGGCCAGGATCAGTATGTGTGCAGTTGATCCCCGACCGATAGCGCAACAGAGAAACATGGGAGAGCGTCAACAACTTGTTTGTTGGATGGGAGAAAGGGGGCGGATACTACCTGACGACAGCCGCAGCGAGGCAAACGTGAAGCATCAAAGCAAAGCCAATCAACCGCACAATCGGCCAGGTAAAAGTGGTGCCCTGCGAACGTGGCCGGATTTTGAGCCCCAGAACCGCGCGAAGGAAGAGTAGAGCAACTCGTGGCCCAACAATCTGGATTCAAACCAGGCCAGAAATTCATCATCATCAGCATCACCATCATCATCATCATCATCATCATCATCATCATCATCATCATCATCATCATCATCGTCATCATCATCATCATCATCATCATCATCATCATCATCATCATCATCATCAGCATCACCATCATCATAGGCTCTAGTAGAAGAAGTTCCGCGAAACACCAGACAACCTGCACGCTCATGCAGACCCAGAGAAAAGTAGGAGCGGCAGGAGCAGGAGCAGGAGAGAGATGAGGAAGAGAAGGAAGGACATAGGCAGAGTACTTGAAGACGGCAACAAATATCGAGTTCCGTCTTCGAGCGTTATTAACCCTCTGACGATCCGCCACCGCACCGCGGGCACTGAGTGGAGTGTCCTCGGGCCCATCAGAATCCTAAACACTCTTTACGTCGGCGGCGAGGCAGAAATGCTGCACCAGCGAGAAGCGATCTGGGGCGGCCGATACGCGAATTGGCCGGCGTGCAAGAGGGGAAGAAGGGGGACGAGGCAGCCGCGAAGGACTGGAGGAGGCGGAGGGCACCCAGACGCGGAAGGCTTCCAAGCTGAGCGCGCCGGCGCGGCCACGGAATCCTCAACCCTCGTGAACACTTGGCACGGGCGCCAGACCCACGACTCGGGAAAACCCCAGGCGCCCATGTGCGCCCGCGCGTTCCGAGGGGTGTTCCGCGTGACTGTTTGGAAGTTTGGGGGAGGGGCTGGCCGAAAGGCCGAGGGCCACTCTTAGCTGGGACTTCAGCGTGCGCTCCTGGGGCGCGTCGGGGGCCATGTAGTGCGCGGGGTAAGGGATGAGGGAGGCAAGGTAAGCGTTCCACGCGGCAGCGGCCCGAGATGGGGACAGCGAAGCAAGCTGCAGGGTCATGGCGCGGCCCCGCATCTTGGCGACGGGTTTGGCCCAGGTGCCAATGGCAAGCGCCGCACGCTGTGCGAGGGTGAACGCGCCGTACCGTGGGGGGATCTCTCCTTCGGCAGCCCGAAAGACCACCGCGGCGCCAAGGCATGGCCATTCCTGATTGACGCAGGAGGCGCCGAAAAGGGAGTTACTGAACAGACGGCGCCACCAGTCGTGGTGACCGGCGGGGACGACCGCGGTTTTGAAAGAGCAGGAGCACGGGCTGTCCCGGGGGGCGCACCTGCTGGCAGCCTCTTCTCCAGTGACCTGGCCGACGAGCGCGCGGAAGAGTAGTGGAGAGGCCGGCGAAGAGATATCCCTCGGGCCTGGTGCGCGTCTGGATAGGTGGCCTGCAGGAGGACCGCCATCGCAGGGAGGTCGGGAGTGACAAGCAGGCCTCTGCACCGGTGCACGTCCACCAGAAGCCCGGCGGCGTTGGCAGCCCAGGGAAGGGCGATGGAGGCACGGAGGGCCTGGGGGCCGCCGCAGGCTAGGCAGGCAAGGTCGTCGACGTACTGGGCAATCCCTGGCTGCGCAGTTGGCGACCGCCTCGATGATAGGGTCGCATCCCACGCTCCACAGGGGGGGAGGCAGTTCCCCCCATCCCGACGGAGCGAAGTAGCTTCCTGAGTGGGCCCGTGAAGCGGCCTTTTCGGGTCTGGACGCGTCGGTTGGATAGGCCGGCGGGGGTACTTTTTCGCTCGCGAGCGCAAGCGGAGAAGCCGCGCGCCGTCAGGGGAATGCCAACTAGCAGCGACCTAAATTACAACCTAAGAGAGCCAAAGCGACCGGAGCGCGCCACGCAGTCACTCAGGCGGCGGAGCTGGACAAGCCGAACAGGCCCGCCAGGCCGAGGAGGTCCAAGAAGAGGGCCTCGATGCACATCAAAATGATGACCGACTTGAAGCGTCGGTCTCAGGATGGAGAGCCAAGACAACCGTCGCGCATGTGCTCGCCACACGCGCAGCGAAGAAGCAAGCGCAAGACGAAACGGAGGTCGCCGCCATCAGACAACCGTCGTGAACGTCCGCGCGCGTCGCTGCCAGCCTTCACACGCGCGCGGGGCGGAGGCTGGACGTCGGCAGGCGCAAGACTCGCTGCCCGGGGGGCGCCCACCAGCCAGCGCGCACTCGACGACGGGGCGGCCCTCAGCGAGCGTCGTGGCCCGCACGAGTCAACCGTGCTCGGGTGGAAGCCGCACTCAGTCGACCATTTCTTTAAAGTGCCGGCACGGAAGGGCCGGCCCGACCTAGCAGTCGGCGCCGACTAAGCGCCACCGGCGCCGGCCCGGCGCCCCGGGGGGGGCGCCGCGAACCGGGGAGGGGCGCCAGCGGAAGCGGGGAACGCCGGGGGGCGGTGGGCCAGCCGGCCAGCCCACGCGAGGCTCGAGTGGACCCGGGCACGCCCCAGCGGGGGGGGGGGGAGCGACAAGCGGCGGGGGCCGCAACCAGGTGCAGGGGGGGGGCGCGGGAACGGGGACAGGGGGGCGGGCGCGGGAGCGGACGGGCGGCGGGCGGGGCGGGCGGGCGGGCTGGCGGGGATACTTTTTTGCTCGCGAGCGCAAGCGGGAGAGCCGCGCGCAGTCAACGAGATCCAGCGAAGACCGAAAAAGCAGCGGCCGGGAACGAGGCTAGGCGCGCGCAGCGGGCGAGAAGCCGAAAAAGGGACTGTGGCCAAGCCCGCGTGCCGAAGAGTGGCCCTCAGCAAACTTGTCCTCGGCGAACTTGTCCTCTGCGACCTTCTCCTCAACGAACTTGTCCTCAGCGAACTTTTCCTCGGCTGCGAGTCGGCATGCGCCGAATGTGAAGCACGGGCGCCACCGCCGTCGTCGGGTACGAATCCTGTGACCACACCACGTAGGCCAGCCTGGCATAGGAGTCCTCAGAAGTCCTACATCAGCCGGCGATGCGAGCAGTCAACTCAGTCGCCACACCACGGACATTGGACGACGAAGGGAACCAGCGAAGAGCCACGGGCGCAGGCCAAGGTTGCACTGTGCTGGACAGAGCACCTCCCGCAGGGAGACAGCCGCAGCGGGCTCGCGAAGCAAGTCGAAAGCCGTCCGATCACTTGCCGGGCCGCGACTAGGCAGCAAGAAAGAGAGGGGCAAGCGAAGCGAGCGCGCGGGCAGCCACTCAGAAGTGCACCAGGAGCGGCACTCCCAATCCGGCGGCGAGAAAATCCCGCTGGCGACCATCAAGGAGCCGCAGCCAAAAAGGGAGCGGCGGCGCGACCATGAACACGCAGAGGTCGCTCACCCGTTGTGAGTCGGCATAGGGCCCGAAGAGAACGAACAGGTCCGACAGGCACTTCAGGGCGACATCCGCGCCGTAGGTGACACAGCAGCATCGCGTCGGCGCCGGAGTGAAGAGGGGGCAGCCTCGTCACAGACAGGACTGCAAACGGCAGATCCTCTAGCATGTACACCCAGCGGCACAGGTCGAAAGCGCAGTCCACGATGGGGAAAACATCCGACGGGCGCCCAGAGCCACAAGCCGAAATCCTTGCACCGGAGAGGACGGCACCGTAGCAAATCCCCACGGAACCCAAACCGTCACCAGTGGAGGCTGGCACCAAGCAGGAGCAGGCCAGAGGCCACCTGGCCGCCCATCCCCGGCGCGGTCATGCATGGAATTCGAAGCGAGACCTCACGGAACCCGCCCGGTCGCCAATGGAGACCGGCACCAGACAGGAACAGGTCAGGGGCCACCTGACCGTCCGTTCTCAGTGTGAACCGTGCATGGAATTCAGGCTGTCAGAGCACCAACGGACAGCAGCCTTGGCGGCGACCCCAGCCGCGCGGGGTAAACCCGGTAAAACGAGGGAGATGGGGGGAAGTGCACGCCAGGCACGGTTGGCAACCCGTTGCGGCAGCTAACAGCTGCGGCATTAGGAAGCAGGAGACACGAGCATCGGAGCCCACTGAACCCTTTCGGCCATCAGCAGGAGGGGGGGCGCCGGTTGAAGGCAGCCAGTAGGCACTGCACCACCCAGCCCCGATTAATACATGATCTCAGCGACGCAGGAGAGGGAGAGTCAGCAAACCGCTGAAGCAAAAGGAGAAGAAGGAGGAGAGCTTACCATAATCCGGTGTACACTGACGCGCACGCCAGGCGCTCGGCACCGAATAAATGATCACAGTGACGGATGAGGGGGAGAGTCAGTTAACCGCTGAAGCAACAGGATAAGAAGGAGGAGAGCTCACCATGACCGCGTGTACACTGACGCGCACGCCAGGCGCTCGGTATCGAAGCTTACCTTAGTAAACCCGCCAGCGGCACCAGTTTGCCCTTGCTCTTCACACGAAGTCCTGGGAGAAGCTGAGCTCTTTCGGCCGCGAAGTAGCGCGCAGTCACGGATGATGAAGTCCTCCATCGAGCTAGCACACCATCCCATATGCGCCAGCGGGTGTAGGCAATGCATGCTTGTTTGTTTAGCAACGCACAA